TAGATAGATAGATAGATAGATAGATAGATAGATAGATAGATAGATAGATAGATACTATTTGTGGGTGTATGTGTCTGTATAATCGTGTGTGTGTGTGTGTGTGTGTGTGTGTGAATAAGCTCAGTTTGTGTAGTAAATGCAGTAAAATAAAATATAAGCAATAATTGATAAATGAGATAAAATAGACTGTTGGCATGTCAGTTCAGAATTTGTAGTAAAGACACATTCACATTGCTTCAGTGTCTACACTTATACAAACTCAAAGATACTTTTGTACCTTTTGAGCAAGCTGAAGCATTCACAAATGCACTGACAACAGCATTGAGCAAAATGATTCTATTTTCCCTCCTCCCACACCCCCCCCATATGTACTTAACAAAGAATAACAGTTTGTGACTTATAAGGAACAGATGCACTTGGGGATGCCTTGAGGGTGCCAGTCGTTATTATTAGACTGCTAATGCTCTTCTTCTGGCTGCTGCCCAAGAAAGCAGAACAATTAGCTGGCATATGTTAATTTTTGTTTCCCTAACAAATCTCTCTACTGACTAGATATGTAAAACAAATCCACAAAGAAAGATCAATCAATGCTGTATGCCATTGAAAAGCAGTCTAACTTAAGTGTATTTGGGTTCCGAAAAGGCAGGTGTTATTAGATTAGGAATAAAAACCAAGTTATCTCTGTTTAGTCACTCAAGGCACAGCCCAGTGCCCAACTTCCATTCATTTCAGTGGGAGATGATGCATGAGAGAATCCCCCTATAGATCGTGCCCTTTCTACAATTTGCACAAGCCATCTTTCAGTTCTGCATGCTGCAAGATACTGTGGAAATGATTGTTGCTTATCTTTGATGGGTATCAACCACGGATAAGGCAGCAATCATTTGGGGGGTTACTGCGGTGAGTATCCATTTTGCTAATTGGATGCTATTTATGACAAAAGATGTATGGTAAATATGACAGAGTTAATATGCATTTTTGATAATGAGTAGCAAGGCTTTTCTTGCTGAGGGGTGTAATGAAGGGCACACTGTTAAACAGCTTGCATACATTTTCACCTTCTTCCCTTTTTTCCCCCTACCCTGACACCCTCTTTCTAGGGTACATCAGCCATAAGTGACACTGTAATCATAAATTGAAAATGATACTTCCAGAGGAATTGGCAAACTTGACATTTCATTATATTTGTTAACACATGCCACAAATGATTGTTAGTGAAGAAATTCCATTTCCCTCTCTCCATCTCCAATCAGATTTAATTTGAAAATTTTCAGCCTCCTCCGGCTAATTTGCAATTAAGACAATTTTGTTTGAATATGTAGTAATGTCATTACCATTCCACCAAATTAGCAAGGAGACTAAAGGTCAGTGTAAAATTTTCCAGCTGGCTGGAGCCTCTCAGCTGAGATTTGGGACTGGAGAAAGGAAATCCAGCAGCATCACAATGGGAACTTATTTCAAGTCACTTTGGTCAAAAGCAAAAGCACCTCTGTGTTGCCTTGCTGGGGTTTCAACTGGAGACTGGCCTGTCCAGTAAAAGAGTCTGTCAGTAATAAGCTACAGGATGCTTTTACCGGAGCAGGCTGTTGAGTCAAATCTTGTAGGACTAGCAGAGTAGTCCTGAGTAATATTGCTGCAGATTAGAGCATCCCCTAATTAGAGTTCTTATGATACAATTTCATCCTGTAATTAGCTGAGCTCGGCTTCTTCCTTTTGCAGCTTATTAGTGGCCACACAGCTGTAGAAATGATTCTGCTCTCATCTGTCAAACCATTTAAATACTTCCTGTCTTTTTTTCCCCCTCCCCTCCATCTAACTTCCTCTGGCTTCCTTCTTGGGCCTCTACAGTTAAATCTGGTGTCCAGTGTCACCATGTCAAAGAACATCTTGGAGACTTCCCCTCAGAGTTTACCTCAAACACCTACTACACCAACAGCCCCAGTTACTCCAATTACCCAGGGACCCTCAGTCATCACCCCAGCCAGCGTACCCAATGTGGGAGCCATTCGAAGACGACATTCAGATAAATACAACATTCCCATGTCATCAGGTAGGCTGGGTTTAAGCTGCCACCTGTGTTTGAGTGTCTTCAACATCTACAGAGGCATTTAGAGAACAAGCTCTTGGAAGTCCAGGAGATGCTGTCTTTCCTTTAATTCATGTAATTGTGCCTAGTATCTGAACATCCAGAAGTGACTTCAGTGGAGAGTTTGCTAGTTTATCAATAATCTTTGAAGGGAAATGGTTATAGTTTTTTTTGACTGATTTTTAAATAGCTGTTATGTCATGAAAAGGATAGAGCTGGAAGGAAGAAGGGTAGGAAACATGCCATGTCACATAAGAATATACTCTGATTAATACATTTTAAAAATGGCCCCACGGTATTGAATGCTAACCTAAATGCACGTATTTCACAAATGCAAGTCAAGGTTAAGTGCAGCTAACTCTGTTCATCAATGCCACAGGTTGTACCTGTTCATATCAATAACAGCAAATGTTT